TATGGTGCATCGCTCTGCGGTCCGCGTGCACTGACGTCCCTTAGGCCACCTCCGAAGGCCGCTGTGCCGAGTCCAGCGCTACTGTAAACCAGGCACAAAATAAAGGATTCGCTTCCAAGCAGACAAGGCGAGTTCCTGACTTCGCATTCCAGCCTTTTCTGCAGCTAGCGGAAAGCGATGCCATCCCGCATCTTCATGGTGCGCCCCTCCCCTTTGAATGCGATACAAAAAGGCTTCCTTGAGTTCGTTGGAAATGGCACTATGGATGAGCGGCGACGTGTTCTTCATGCCATTCGTCATTGCACGCTGGAGGTACTTTTCAAGCCCACAACGTTGACAGCTTCGGAGCTCAGCATTGCTGTTTACGAGAAGAAGAAAGCAAGCGGCTTGTGCTATTTGTGATTCAGAAAATGCTGGTGCAGTCAATGTCTCCACCTAGTCATAGTATGCATCAGCACGAACAATGTTATCTCCATCGCAGAATAATTGTGTTCAGAATTTGTGGGCGTTCTACCATGTTCGTGGAATGGATGTTCTCCATCGGGATGTGGTTCTTCTAACAGTGCACCTCTGCAGGCAGCAGAACATGCGACACGGTTTAGAATGGACAGGTCTACAAGGTTTAGAATGCACAGGTCTAAGATAGAGGACGCAGGCGCTGAAGAAAGAAGCTGCTTGGCGCATGAGACTGCAGGCTTGAATTGAGGCTAACAAGAAGTGGGGCTCGTATTGTCAGGCAGGCGTTACAGAGTGTCAGCGCGAACCATGCTCTCTCGATCACAGGACAATTGTGTTCAGGTAGTAGAACGCCCACAAGTTCTGAACACAAATTTCCTGCGATATAGAAAACGGTTAGAGCTGTCTCGTCCAAATCGTATCGCAGACCCGGGCCCTTTGGGCTACTGCGTGCACAACGCCTTATGACAGTAAGGATGACACTAAGGAAACCCTGTTACTTCGGGGTTCTGGGGGCGGTCATCTTAAGTATTTCGATTTGTCGCAGCGCCCGACCTGCACTAAGATAGGGGACCCTTGCTAAAACGCCGGTGAACGGGAACGAGTCAGACAGCCAACTCGCCTTTGACGTAATTTGGGCTACACGCGGTCATCCTATTGTTGGGCTGCTCGGCAAATGAGGGTGCGTGATGTTTAGGGAGAGGGCAGATATAATCTGCTGTGTCAGAAGTAGGAGAGGGCAGATATGATAAGTTGTCAGAAGTAGGAGGGGGACGATATAATAGGCTGTGTCAGAAGTGCGAGTATATGGCCGGATGATAGTGTCCACAGCTCTTAACACCTACTACACGCAAAGCTACATGCACGTCTACACAGGGACCACTAAAAGCAAATACCTCCATGAATGTAACGAGGGCCCTTTCCGGCTCCAATAAAAGCAATCAGAAGTGCCACCTCTGGCAACGAGCGAACTATGAATGATGCGCCGCGAAGCGCGAACTCCGCAACTGTAATATCACACACAAAGAGCTGATCAGGCAGATACCATCGGAGTTAAATTGAACTTTGGGGAGTTTGCTGCCCCCAAGTTCCCAATCTGACAATATACGCTAACCATCGTCCGCTTGGGGAAAGGACGTTCGTCAAGGTTGCAAAGTTCAAAGGCCTCGAAGGACACCACCTGGTGTTTTCCGGGCGCTTGAATGCAGAGAGCAAACTGAAGCTAGCGAAAAACCTGCAAAGCAAGTGACTGCGTGTACAATCACATGCTGGACCTTAAAACGTGCAAACTACAACTGTTTTAATAGCATGCACAATTGTGAGCGCAGTGGGTCGCAAAACTGTGCTGGTTCCTAGCTTATAGAGGCACGGACAGGTGTACGTAGAGTAACGCAAGGGTCCTCCCCTCTACGAAGAACCCGGTCCTCGATAGTGATGCCTGCTGAATCAATAGTTCACCGCTGACCGAGGGTTTATTCAGGAGTATTGTTAATGAGGTCTGGAAACTCTTGAAGAATTTGGAAGCCGCCTATCCTGTGCATCCTCCTGGGCTCCAGCAGACGCACAATAAGCTGTGCCCACCTCTTTGGGACTTTTGAAGCTTCCAACTGCGGAATCAGANCTCCAGCAGACGCACAATAAGCTGTGCCCACCTCTTTGGGACTTTTGAAGCTTCCAACTGCGGAATCAGAACTTGAGAACGTATATTGGCTCGTAAGAGGTACTCCGATAAGCTCGCTTCTCCCTGCATCCAGTCCGACCCCTCCATTTTTCCGTAGGGATGCTCATTTCCCGTGTAAAGCTGATATAGAAGAACCCCAAGGCTCCACATGTTTCCCTTAGCTTCAGGCACCACTATTTTGTTCTTCTCAGATAGGTAAATCGTATGAGGTTCTGCATTCGGCGACAGAGTGCCTCTCAAGGGAGATAACACCTCGTCGAAGGGAGCGCCGTTCCCAAAATTACCCAAGAAAAAAGAACCGTCTTCACGCAAAAACAAGGAGTCCCAGCTAAGCCGCAGATGACCAATTCCTGAATGCTCGAGTTTCAGCACTATCTGCAGCAGACGGGAGGCGATGTAGTCCCGCGCTTTTTTCTTCAACTCCCCTCCTTTACATCTCAGGTGTCCGAGGTCCCCCACAATTCGTTCCATCAATGTTGCAGTATTATATAGCGTACAACGCCGTACCGAATGAAATTGGGTAAGTCCTGATATTTTGCCGGTGTATGTTGGGACGGCTATGCCCTTCTGTGAGGCTGCCAACTCAGGCGGAACCTTGCCNATATTTTGCCGGTGTATGTTGGGACGGCTATGCCCTTCTGTGAGGCTGCCAACTCAGGCGGAACCTTGCCACAAGCCTGCAGGATAGTCTGCTTCTCATCCTCGGCCGCCTGCCGTATTTTTTTCCAATACGCGTTTTTATTCTTGACCATGCCCATAGGAATGATGGGGATATTAACGGAATACTCCTCCTTCGTCATGACGTCTTCGGCGTTCACCACCAAATTCCAGCGGTAATACTCTACAACTTCACTAACGCGCAGCGTTTGAGGTAAATGCTTGTCTGTCCTACCCCCGCCAAAAAGCTTCGTATTATGAATAACAATAGTCATTCCAACCAAGGAGTCGCTAGAGCCGTTCGAAAGAGCCTGAGCAACGTCACGCTGATACGAGTCAGCTGCTTCACTCTTGAACTCGCCCCACGAGAATTCGGAGGCCCAAGTAGCTAGCGCTTCTTTGCCCTCCTTAAGCTTCAAAGGAAGCGTTTGTTCAAAGTGTTCAAGCGAAGATAGA